CCAAAACCCCAAAACCCCAAAACCCCAAAACCCCAAAACCCCAAAACCCCGTCAAGTGAATTTCTAAGCACTATATGGTTTGATAATGTTTTAAAATGTATGCACATATTTATTTGGCATTAATAAGATTTTATTGTTATCGGCTAGCATTTACAAACCATATAATTAAATAACTTTAAATATTATTTCATAACAAAAGAAATGGGAATATTTAGGTAAGCTAGCCCCTTACTTCTATTTATAAAACCGAGACTTATCATTATAATAGATCTGATGATATGGAGATGTATCAAGTAACGATACCCAATGATGATGCTTGGTATCTCATGAATGAAATGGGTTCAATGGGAACAATTCACTTCTTGGATCTCAATAAGACCGAGTAGACTTTTCATCTACCCTACGCTACCTAAATTAAAAGAGCAGATGAAACACTCAGAAGACTAGCGTAAAATATTTGCAGTTTAATCAATCAATATTTAGAGTTATTGAAGCTGAATGTAAAAAATTCAGAGTTAAGCTAATAAAACCAAGAAACGTCGAGTCTTTTTAAAAATCTCTCAAGATACTTCAAGCAGAGAAAAGAAAGGCTGAGAATGTTCTGTTAGATGAAATTGAGACAGATATCGAGGGTAAAGAGAAATTCGTTCAAGAGTAGATTAAAAGACTTTCTGATCTCTCTTCAGATATGAATACTTTGATTGAACATAAGAATGTAGTAGCTGCAGCATCAAAGATTATATTATCTGCTTATGCAGTTGGTTCCGACGTTAGAGTTGATGAAGAAAAACAAGAAATCAACATTTAAATGTAGGAGATTGAGGGTGGTTAAGACGGATAACCAGGAGTAGGTGATAATATAGCTGAGGAGTAAAAATAACCACTGATTTAGAGGCAAGAATAGACTTAATAGCCTCTTACTTTATTGCCATCTACAGGATCAGTTGCAATTAGCTACTTAGCAGGTACTATTAGCAAAGAGGAGATAATGAGATTCAAAAAGATGGTATATAGAGCAACTAGAGGTAAGGCTTTGACTTACTTCCAGGACATGGATTCTCAGGGTCTATAAGATTATGCAGGAGGTCTTGATCAGAGAATGAGAGCAGTATATGTTGTTATTTTCTAGGAGGGGTAACATATTAGAGACAAACTTATTAAAATCTGTGATTCCTTCTTGGGAAAAAACTTCGACATTCCAGCTGGATGCGAGCAAAATGCTATAAATAACTTGATTACATCATTAGAACTTCAAATATAAAACCATAAAAGTGCTATTGGCTAATCAAGGTAGGTTTTAAGAGATTTCTTGAAGGAAATACAAAAAGTTTCATAAAGTTAGGCTGACGCAAACACATCATCTTTAGTTGAAATCTACAAAATCTTTTTATAAAAAGAGAAAGCACTATATACCTCATTGAATAAGCTTAAAAAAGAAGATAAGTTATATCTAGGATTCTGTTGGATTCCTAAGGTTGATGTTTAGAATGTTATGAAGGACATTGAGGATATTAGGGAGAGGGACAAGAATATAGAGATTCCTACATTTAAAATTATTACTGATCATGAAATCAGACCTCCTAGTTTGTTCAGAGTTAATGAATTCACAGCAGTATTCTAAGAAATTGTGAATACTTATGGTATACCAACATATAAAGAAGTCAATCCAAGTGTTTTCGCTTGCGTATCATTCCCCTTCTTGTTCGGTATTATGTTTGGAGATATGGGTCATGGTTTCTTCTTATTTTTAGTTGGAGCTTTCTTATGTATCTTTGATGGAGTAATTAGACGTAAATTCCCTTCTGCAGAAGGCTTGTTAACTTTGAGATATATTTTCTTATTAATGGGATTCTTTGCTACCTATTGTGGTATTATTTACAACGATTTCATGGCTATCCCAGTCTGGGCTTTCGAGAGCTGCTATGAACTAAGAGATCTTCCTTAGGGAGAATAAATTCATGATCCAAATCTACCAGCAGATGCTCATCATCATGTTCCATAAGAAGCAATTTACAAAGATGACTGTGTCTATCCAGTAGGAGTTGATCCAGCTTGGTATCTTGGTAAAAACGAGCTTGCTTTCCTAAATTCTCTAAAGATGAAAATTTCAGTTATTCTAGGAGTTATGCAAATGTCACTTGGTATTACTATGAAAGCATTCAATGCCGTTTACTTCAAAAATAAGATGGACTTCTTCTTTGAATTTGTTCCTCAGATTATTCTTATGATGGTCCTTTTTGGATATATGGATCTCCTGATTATTTGCAAATGGCTCACTGATTTCAAAGGAAAAGAGCACATGGCTCCATCAGTAATTACGACAATGATTGATATGGCTTTAAGTGGTGGTGCAGTCGCACCAGGAACCTAAGCTGTTGTTGGTTCTGATTCAGTGCAATAAGGATTAAGTATTGCTTTCTTATTGATTGCCCTAGTCTGTGTTCCAACAATGCTTTTCCCTAAACCACTCTACATTGATAAAATGAATAAACTTCACTTGCAATAGCATCATGATGCACACAATATTCCTATGTAGGAACATAAGGGTGAAACTCAAGGTTTATTAGATGGTGATCAACAACAAAGAGAATAAGTCGTGTAACAAGTTGAATACAACTAAGTTCACAAGTAAGATGATTGGAGATCAAAGAAAGAAGGTGGTGCCATTACAAATTATAAACTCTCTGACTTATAAGCAAACGAACCACCTGCAAATGCTGGACATGGAGAGGCATTCGCAGACATCTTCATTCATCAGTTGATTGAGACAATTGAGTTTGTTTTAGGTACAATTTCAAACACTGCCTCTTACCTTCGTCTTTGGGCTCTTTCACTCGCACACGGTTAATTGGCAGCTGTCTTCATTGAAAATACTATGATTCCAGGTCTAGAAGCTCACTCAACTGCTGGAGTGTTCTTTGGTGTAAGTTAATTCAAAGTATAAACATAATTATTAGGTATGGATCGGATATTTCCTTTGGGCATCATTCACATTCTCTGTCTTGATGAGTATGGACGTCATGGAGTGCTTCTTGCATACTCTCCGTTTACATTGGGTCGAATTCCAGAACAAATTTTACAAGGGTCAAGGATACAAATTTGTTCCTTTTTCATATAATCAAATCCTAAAGGAATACACAGGGTATTGATAAATTTCAATAGGCTATAGAGCTAAACATTAAATACCTTAGCTATAAATTTTAAGTACGCTGTAAATTCATTTTTATTTCCTCTTATTCACAAATAAAATAATGATTGACCTTAAGGGGTTTTGGGGTTTTGGGGTTTTGGGGAGATCGGAAGAGCACACGTCTG